TGGGCACCCTGCCACTTCCCTGTTCCAAGTCCCGGGCCACTGGTCTGCATCCTCAACTCAGGAGGATCTGAGTCACCAACCTTTGTCATCACGCAGCCCCAGAGCAGCGAATGACCTGAGAAGTCCCAGCATGACCCGTGTCCAGAGCCAGCTTCCTTCCTTTAGCACACACTCTCGCTAACAAAGGTGTTTCATGCAGTGGCTGAGCACAAGGGGCGAGGGGTAAGGGCCCACACCACCCTGGGTTCAAGTGTCAACCAAGCTACTGCAATAAAACCAACCACAAGCAAACTGGATTCTCCACACCCTCGTGGGTGGCTACAGAATCTAGTGGGTCAGCATGACTTCAGGTCTAGGGTGGGGGTGGACTGACAGTAAGCGAGAAAGCTCACCTGTCAAAGACCTAGGAAGACCACAATACCCGTGTTAAGGAAGCAGGCCTGTGGTGAATTAAAAGGAGACCTCCCATGTTCAGGCTTGACTATTTTTGAATCTGTGTTTCAAAGGCTGGGTTGGTGAGGCAGTTCACAAAGTCAATGAAAATAGTGTCCAAGGAGGTATTCAGGCTTTGTAAGAAAAGCAGAAGAGTTGACAAGAATCCTCCTGTTCTTCACTTTATTGCTGGTGAATCCCCAATCACTGATTTATTCATTAAGAACCTCTGTTCTACCGCTCAGGGCTCAGTTCCAGTTGATTTCTTTCCACGAAGTGATGAATGGTACATTTTTCATGTTCTACACGCAGGCTCCTCACTAGCCTGACAGACTGTGCCTTGCTTGGGTCTATCTGTGTGAGATTTCCCTCTAAACTCCATTCCCAGTCTCTATCTGGCATGAATGTCTGGCTGCTGGAAGTGGGGTGGGCGGGGCACATGGTCTTAGTACTGTTATTTTTTCTGAAGGTGCAGCTGACAGACCCCCCCTCAGGAGGAGAAGCACTGGGTGACCACACTGGCCCTTGGCATCCAGCGCTGTCCCCGGGAGGGGAAGGTCCTGCCTGCCCCTCAGTGGCCTTCCTTGAGCTCAGGCCTACACTGGGTACCCTCCCCATCAGCCCTGAAGGTGACTGCCTCCCAGTCCTCACCCCCCAAGACTGGCAGCCTCACATCCTATGGGATTCTGGGGAGGAGAGCAAGTGGGATCTTACCCAGTCCATGCTTTTCCAACTCACATGGCTGAAACAGAAGCCATGAAACCGGGAAACAGGTTTCATCCTGACTCCAGGATGGAGTGGCTCAGTCTTTACAAAATAAACAAAATCTTACTTTGGGGACTAGACACTGCCTGGAGCGAGCCTGGCCTTCTTTCTCCCTCAGTCTATTTCCGAAGGTGTCAAAAATGCCACTTGACCCTCCCTGTCCAGCACACTTTTGCCTCCTTCTCATTCCGCCTCTCTCAAGCCACACACGGGCGCCAGCTTCCCCTCAGGCAGGCACTCGAGGCTCGGCTTCCAGACGCTCAGTGTCTACAGGCACCAGCCAGGACCCCGCCTTCCCTCCACACAGACCCTCCCTCCCACTCCAGGGTGTGCCAACAGCCTCCTGAGCGCATCCAGGCCACTTTGGGTGGGCAGGGCCTGTGGGGGAAGAAAAGAATTCACAGCACACATCTCCATGGCAACCAAACACACACGCTGCCCAAGGAGCAGGTCAAGAAAGAAGGGGACTTTACCAGACCACATACACGCCCACACATCACACCCTGAATGCTTACTTCTGGGAACCAACACCAAGGAAACAATTCAGCAGAGGGACAGAAAGATGCAATCACAAAGACATTCTCCGGGGTGTGAGTAAGACCCAAAACACTCCAAAGGAGCTACAGGATACCCAAGTGTAGTGCAGCTCAGTTGAGGGCTGTTAAACTGTTAAAATGATTATTATGAAGACCGCACTTGCCACGTGTAAATCAGAAAGGATACAACACTGCATGTGTTATGCTCAAACTAAAAAAAAAAAAAAAAGTACAGACAGTTGAACAAGATCTAGAAGGGAAAACACACTAGTGAAAATGGCTGTGCAAGCAGTCAGGACATCAGTAAGTTGCCTGAACAAAGGGAAATTATATCTACTGACCAACAGAGGCTGCTGGGATACACGATGGGTGCAGGGGTCTCCAAGCACTTCTGCCACTGGGGAGGAAGCTGTCTTTGGACACAAGAGGAAGCCCCTTGGCCAACAGGAATGCCACTGTACTTGCTCTGCAGAGTCCTTGCCCTCATCTCTTCAGCAAAGGTTCTAGGGCCTGATTTGTTGGTACTAAAATAACAGAATATGGTTCATAGCCTGCATGAAAGCCAATAGCAGGGAATGCCAAATCCAGGAGAAAATGTTCCTTCCACTCAGAAGAGCAGGGAAAGCTTCCTGGAAAAGGAGGCATAAACCCGATCCTAAAAGCCGGACAGACATTAAATGGATAGATTTTTGTGACTATAAAGCTGGGAGATCCTGATAGCCCAAAGGACAACAGATCTTACCTAACCCTTCAGTGCTTTCCTGAAGCCCCTCAATAAAAATAGTTTAATATCCCACCATAAAAAAAGAATTTAAATTCTTTAAGAATTTAGAGGATAGGGCCTCCCCTGGTGGCGCAGCAGTTGAGCACTGGTCTGTGAAGCTGCCCACAGCCCCTGCAGCGCCAGTTCAATCCCTGGCTGCCGGCAAGGGTCCCACATGGCGCGACAGACCTCTCCTGTCACGCCCGCTGCTCCCCTCCGCAGTGTATTTCGTCAGTCTGCCTGTTCTGTTCCCCGCTCTGGCTCTGGTGAATTCTCTCACCCTCCTGCACTTCTGTCTGTACCCAGTGCTTGTATAAATAAATAAATCTTTTAAAACAAAAAAAAGGAAATTAAAAAAAAAAAAAGAATTTAGAGGATAGTTGGCCTCCGTGGTAGTGCAAGGGGTTAAGTCTCAGCACTATGAAGCAATCCACAGCCTCTGCAGCATGAGTTCAATCCCTGGCAGTGTATTTCAGTCAGTCTGCCTGTTCTACTCCCCACTCCGTCTCTGGTGAATCCTCTCATCCCCACACCCCTGGTCTATACCCTAGTTCTTGTATGCATAAATAAAATAAATCTGGGGGGAAAAAAAAAAGAATTTAGAGGAGAGGGTATTCTGGGGAATAGTGGGACCAGAAACAGAGAAACAGAAAAGGGAAATTCAGTTTGACAGTGACAAAGAAGCCAGAGGCAACAAGACGGAGACCTGACCACGGTGGCCTTCAATGCTTGACCACAGGGCTCGACCGAATCGCTCTGTCTTCCTTAGGTGTCTGCTTGTCTGACCCGAAGCAGGATGAACTCAGGCGACAAGAACTGACAGGGTCATGCAGCCTCAGACAGAACCAACTAACACATCAATAGGTCTTTTCCCCAAACAATCTTCTTAAGTTCAAACGCTTGAGTAATTGCTTGAGACAAAAGAAAACTGCTTCTACTGAGTATTTTTTCCTGTAAAGTACAGCAAATACTGAGAAACAGTTGCCAGTGGCAAAAGTCAAAGGTAATTTTTTTTTTAAAGATTTATTTATTTATGCATATAAGAACTGGGATACAGGCCAGAGTTGGGGTGGGGGAGTGAGAGGATTCACCAGAAAGAGTGGGGAGTAGAACAGGCAGATCTACTAAAGTACACTGCTGAGGGGAGTAGCGGGCGAGTCGGGAGAGGTCTGCTGCGCCATGTGGGCAGCTCCCTGGCCGGGGATCAAACTCCTGCTGCAGTGGCTGCGGACAGCTTCATAGTAGTGTGTCAACCCCCTGCAACACCGGGGAGGCCCACAAAGGTAATTCTTAAAAGAAGATATGATCACAACCCTTGCACAGAGTTTATTTAACTCATCAATAAAAGAAGGAACCAATGAGATGTTACAACTGGGAGACTGCCGAGCCCCATATATGGACAGGCAAAGCCACGTGCAGTGACCTCCCAGAGCAGCGAAGTGCATGGCTGCCAGAGCTCGCACAGCCGTGAGCTGTGAGCTCATGTGTTGCCTTCAGAATTCTACATCTTACAGAGGGTCACATTCTCAAAGACAAGGAGAATCCATAACCAGACAACTCTGTTTCCATTGAGGATGCTGAGACTCTGAATCAATTTCAAAGCTTCTACAGTTTTCCCTACAAAGGAAAATTCTGATCAACGTACAGACTATAAACTCTCAGACATGTTGTTTCCTAGGAACTCGCAGTGAGGACTGAGGCTTGAGGTGCAGAACCTGGCACACACGTGGGCCATCAGGCTGGGAAGGTTAGTGGAGGTCATGCCCAGTTGCTTCAACGCAGTCTGGGGCTCAGGAAGATCTCAGTCTAGGCTATCCTCCTCCAGAGGCTTCCATGAGGAGCCTGGTACTAACTCAGGGTGCTCGCCCCTGGCCTCTCCCTGGAGTCACCCAATATAGAACACAGTCCCCATCTAGAAACTCCACCATAGAGCTTCTGATCCTGCTGGCCAGTGGAACTGGGGCAAATCTCCTGGGGTGATTCAAAGGGGCAGCCAGGACTGAGAACCAGCAGGCCAGATGATAAGACCCTTTCACCCCTGACACTCCATGGCTAAGTTGCCATGTTTTCTTTTAACTGGCAGCTGCCAGTCTCATGGGACCCTGTCCCCAAGTGCTCCTCAAAATGAATCTTTGGTAGAGACCATAACATAAGCACATTCACTACTTGGCCAACTTAGCAAACATCCTGCAACAAGTTAAATCTCCCAGGGTGGTCGCCATCAATTCACTTAGCAGGCTGCTGAGCTGAGCACAGGCAGCGCGAGCACAGATGCCCACAGGTGGCCGTGCTGAGAGGTTCCAACAGGTATGGGGGATATACACAGGCATTTACCCCCACTCTCACACAGCAGCCTCCAAATCAAAGATTCTGCAAAGAGTGATAAAGGGGCCCTGCTTCACAGCAGGGTAAGTGATTAACCACCTTTGGGTTGGATGCTCTCCCCTCTTCTCCTTCTCCTGGTCCCCATGTTCCTTACACCACCTCCCCAAACACACACTTACTGCAGGCCGCACAGGTGAAGCATGCGTCGTGGTAGAGGTTCCCCATGGCCTGGCAGGCCTGGCCAGCCCCAAAAACGCCTTTGCTGCATTTCACACAGGCTCCTGTAAGGCAAGAACACACCAGTGAGTCAGGATGGAAACAGAGTGAGATGCCCATCCCCCCATAACTGGCCCATGCCAGTTGGGTTGCTCCTTGGAAATGCCTCTCTCTCGCTCTTCCCCTATCAGGTTGGAAGGGCCACCAGGCTGAACTCAGGCCCCCTGGCCCCCCATCCCTACTGCGGGCTGATGTGCAGAATGCCTTTGCTTTGTCAACCTCCTCTCTCTTATCCAAAGATTTCACTGGCCCAAAGTTCCCACTGCTAAGGAAAAATGGCACCATGATTACAACATGCCAAGCACGCAGGTCAGGCAACTTCAACTAAATTATTTCCTTTAATTCTCAATGGTTACCACCAACTAGGGTTTACTATGTTCACTTCCTACAAAAAGTATCGAGCCCCAAGCTCTACCTGGTCAGAGTGTAAAGTCGCTGCTTTTCTCATCACCTGGCTCCTTTGCTCCTAACAGGCCCACTGCGTCCCAGCTCTCAGCCTTTGCTGACACCCGTGACCACTCCTGTCCCTTCCAGTCCTCAGGCCTCCCTCAGGACCCTCTCAATGACGTCTTCTTCCATCACCGGGTCTCTGGCTCTGAAGGCAACAGGACGAACCAGAGAGGCTCCAACCTCAGGCCCCCTACTGGCCCCTACCCATGCGGTCTGCGGTGATCTGTTAGTCTTCCCAGCATCAGTTCTTATTTTAGGAAAAGGAGGTTAGTTCTAGCTGCTCAGCCTGTTCCCAGGAGCCACGGTCAAGGCTGCCTTGTAAACCAAAGACACTGACGAGCTCATCTGTCTCAGCTACAAAGGGTCTCTTGGAAGGCCCGGTCTGAATCCAGAATGCCACGATTTAGGAGCTAAGTGACTAAGTCAGGTTATTTAAGCCCTTAGTCCCACCTTTATCTATAAAGTAGGGATAACAGTAGCACCACCTTGAGGTATAGATTCCGTATGCAGAATCCAACACTCCAGCAAGTTCCCCAATGCCTGGTCCCTTGCACCTTCTCTCTTACTGGCTATGAAATTGCTTCTATGAGCGTAGGATGAGCCTCCGACACAGCTGGTGCTGCTGGACCTCACCAGCAGCAAAGTTCATAGTATCCCCCTTGTCGTGAAATTGAAAACCTTGAGGAATTCAGAGGCCTCAGCATTTCTCTTCCTCTGATTATTTCATATATAACCCAGGCTGCTCTTAAATCAAGAAACATATTGGTTTTAGCAAACTGCATCCCTCCAGGGACACCAGGTACTGACTAGGTGCTGCTGGCAGCCAGGCCAGGGGGGACCCAGGGGAGCACCCATGGGTGTGGAAGTGATGGTGTTGACACCTTCACCATCATTGGACATAGCACCTGCTTCTGGCTCCGGGTTGTAAGGATCATATCTTAACTGTGGCCTCTGCAGGGATTCAACAAAGAGCTGTTGAGTTGAATCACTTCCTACACAGCTCCCTACAGGGGCCTTTCCATGTCTCTTCCTCCCCAACACTCATGCCCTTGCGCCTCCTGTTCACACCTCTGCCCCTCCAGAAGCACATTCCTTTCACAGAGATCTAGAGTCTTATTCCTCTGTGAACACCCCCACAACTGACAAAGTGCACTGAGAATGTCCTCAGCAACACACATAAAAACAGAGGAAAGAATTACAAGCACAACCACTGAGCACTGGCTGTGGCACAGTGCACATGTGATGCCGGGGGAGAACGCGCTCTTGAGAAACACCAACTGACAGGCAATAGCAGGTATTCATTACACCATCAGATGGTTCTAGGTCCACTCCCAGACCCCTGTCCCCAACCCCCTGGTTGATCTGACTCTAATACTTTTCAAAAAGTATCAAAGGCTGGTTTGTCAGCAACTAAAACACCCAAAGCCACCCCCAAAGGCAACCTCACTTGCTCCCTGTTCATCATGGTGGCCTCTTGGCTCAGCCCACTGTAGAAATGCTAGCTGAAGAGCAGAGGAGCATGGGCTCAACAGCGTGGTCAGCCCTCCCCACCCATCCTCCAAGAGGACACAGGAAGAGGCCAGCTCGAGATAGCTCACCAAAGATGAAAGACAGAATAGATCTCAAGAATCGGGGGGGAGCTGCTGACTCAGAATGAAGAACTCCTCTCGTCTGGGTTTGGGGAATAAAATGAGACCCCTCTCTCACTCCAACGGCAAGATGGACAGTCCCCTTTTAGGGGGCACTGACCAGTGCCCCAGCCGCCTGGGCTTCCCCTATGCTACCTCACTCCCTTATGTGGTTTCCTCCTTATCTGGGGGCTGTGACCTGTGGACTTCAGCCTCCCCCTCGCTCATTCCTGCAGCTCCAGCCCCTTCAGGGCGCTGACATCCTTTCTCACCACTCTACCATCCAGCACAGACACAAAGCAAGGAAGGAAGCCACTGGGGCACTCAGCTGTCAGGCATGGAGCACGGAGGGCCCCATAAGAAGCCGAGTAGGTAGGAAAATATTTCATCCTGCGGCTTGTGGCAAAAGGATAGAAAACTACTTCATAGGCAGGAAAGAGATGTGTTCTTCTTTTGGTAGGAAAAAAACACAAAGTAAATTCCCTATTCTAGGAAATAATGTAACTACCAGACCCTGGGTGGGGAGCGTTCCTCCCTTGTAGGAGCTGCTGCCATCCCCTCTCTCAAACCCAACTTCCCAAAGTCCCTGTACCCTGTGGGTGGTCACTCCGCTGGCACATCTGAGAGAGTATCTAAGCCCGGGTTCTCACCCAAAGGTCCTGTTTTTCCCACCTGGTTGGCAGCTGTGGCTGTTCCTGTCACATATGTGGGATCCCCCAGAAAGAGAGGGGCTCCTTCCTTGTTCCCCAATGCACTTCCTGCTCAGGGGTTCAGACTCAAGACCAGTCCTGCCCCAAAGCTCCTGCTGACCACCATTCTGCTCCAACCCACACACACAGGCTATCTCCAGAGTGTGGACTGGTTTCTTCCACTTGCATAATTGCCTTGAGGTTCCTCTACGTACCAAGAGTCCCTTCTCTTTCATTACTGAGCTGTTCTGCCGTGTGGGGACCACAATTTGTTTATCCACTCACCACTGACAGACATCACCTAATTTGGGGCAGTGGTAAATAAAGTGACTTGGGTACAGTGTTTGTCTAGACAGCTATTTCCTTTTCTCTGCAGTAAAGACAGGGGGGTGAACTGGCTGGGTCTAAACAACAGGTGTCTGTTTAACTTTTTAGGAAACTGCCAAACTGTTTTCTAAAGGGGTCCTGTCAGCTCACCTTCCCATCAGCAAGTCAGAGTTCCAGTTTCTCCACACTCAGAATGACAGTCTTAACTCTTGTCCATTCCAACCAGCATGTAGTGGGACCTCCCTGCGGTGCTGATTGGCTTTACCCTTGTGACTAACGTGGGGCCCGGGCAACTTTTCATGTGCTGCTTGATATCCTATAGCTTCTTTGGCGAGGTGCTTATTCAAGTCTTTAAACCATTTTTTCCCCTTTTTGTTGAGTTATGAGAATTTCTTACACAATCAGGAAACAAGTCCTTTATCAGATACCTGCTGGGAAGACTTTGCTGGAGTCCTATAAACTCCACCCTGAGTCTCCCAGGACTATCAGCTGCAGTTCAACTCCAGGAGTTCTCTGGGCTCAGCCTCACGCTCCCTCCTTGTGCCAAGGCCCGGACCCCTCCCGGGGAGTAAGCCACAGCAATCTGGGCCCTGCTCCAGTGGCTTCTGGTTCCCTTGAGAATCGCTGTCCTTTGTAGCCTGAGAGCCACTGTCTTGAAAACTACTGGTGCATGTATCTTGTCTGGTTTTTTGCTTTAAGGTTTTGTTTTGTTTTGCTTTTGGTTGTTTCAGGCAGGATGTTAATCCAGCCCTTGCTACCCTCTCTTTAGAATAGGCATTATTAAGCCTTATCTGTGCCCAGCATTGTTTTACACAATTATGTGTTTCTTCAGTTCACAATAATCCTACAAAGTAGATATTATCAATTTACAGATGAAGAAACTGAAGCTTAATGATTAAGCAGATTGCCTAAAGGGGGCTGACGCTAGTCATGTCCTTCCCACTGCATTTATTAGAGGGGCAAAGGAACCGAGTGGCAAGAGAAGCCCCAACGACTCAAAACTCAATGTTTCCGCATTGTGAGCACCGGCGAGTCCATAACAACCAGCTCACTGGTAGCAGCAGAACCACTGTTTGGCTGCAGCTTAGAGACAGAGGCTGAGCGCACCCCACCTCCCTGAATGTGGCCTGGGGGTTCTAGCATGGAGGGATTCAGGCAGAAAATGTGTGTGCACTAAAGAGTATCTGGAAAGCTTAGGAAGCTGGGTGGGGCTTGAAAGATCATTGGTAGTCAATAGACTGGGGGATTCTTTATTTTTAACAGGATGTTTATTAATTTGGTTTTTTTCTTTTTGATACTCTCGTTAACAGAATTTATTTTTTAGAAGTTTTAGGTGCACAGAAAAATTGAGTGGACAGTACAGAGGTTTCCCATATATCCTGCTGCCTTCCCTACAAAATCCTACACCAGAAGGGGTTACACTGGTATGACTGATGAACCCACACCAACTCATCACAGTCACCCCAAGTCCACAGTTTCTATGAGGATTCACTCTTGGTGATAGACATCTTACAGGTTTGGGCAAATGTAGAAGGTCACATATACAGCACACAGAATAGTTTCACTGCCCTAATCCTCTGGATTTCACCCATTCACCCCTCCTAACTCCTGGCAACCACTGACTTTTTTGTTGTCTCCATGGTTTTGCCTTTCCTGACCTATCAAGTGTGGGAATCTTGCCCTTAGTAATATGCTTTTAAGATTGTCCATATCATTCTACGACTTGATAGCTCATTTCTTTTTAGTGCTGAGTAATAATCCACTGTCTGGATGCAACACCTGTGAGCTTTCCATTCACCTGCTGAAGGATGTCTCCGTTTATTCCAGGGCTTGGCAATTATGAATCACGCTGCGAGATAAAACATCGAAGAGCAGAATTTTGTGTGAACAGAAGCTTTCAACTCACGTGAG